ACGGAAGTGTGCTAAGCAGGTGTTTATATAGCCCTAAGAGTGTTATCACAACTATCCTGCTACAAAACATTGATATCTCAAATCCTGTAAGCTACCCGATTTGTTAGCGGTTTGTTTATCCCATGAGCTTCCTTCTCACTCACTTCATTTTGCGGACGGACACACATACATACATACATACACACACACGCACACACACACGCACACACACTAACAATACAGCATACCACAAACCGCACACAAACGGTTAGCCGCTTATATACTAATCAGGAAGGGAGTGGATCAATGGGGACTTCCCAACGTGTTTGAATGGTTCCACCGGTATTTTAGAATCACAGATCCAGATCATCTTCGGGTGCACGCTCCGCCTGGGATGATAGCAAGGGATGTTTCTTTTGGGTTAGTTCTGTACCCCTTTCACTGCCTTTGGGTCTACTCCTTCGACAAACTTTACGATATCTGTGATTTTGGCTCGGCCCAATTTTGGCTGCGACGTGTCGATAAGCATTTTTTGGCCCTCCGCGGGTTTGCTGACCTTTTAGACCTTTTTTTTCGCTCTTCGAAATTTTCCGGACCATAATCGTGAGATGGTTTGTTTAATTTACAGGCCACACATTACAGTTCGAGAGCACCACTTCGCTTCACTTGTTTTTCGGGGTCTTCACTTTTCTTTAAATGCATTGATGGAACGGGCTGGACGCGGCTGCGCGTCCCACTCAGTTTGTATTCATTGTATGGATCACATCATAACATAATGTAAACCCCATAGCTCACCGTATGATCAGATGTGCTTCAGTTTAGCGGAGGGTTTTTGAGCGTTTCGGAATTGGCAATCATTTCTTGTTTTCTTCATATTCTCAATCGCAACTAAATAAAAGAGTAGTATGAGTAAATACAAACCTATACGGATATACAAGTAAATACAAGCCTATACGGATATCTTGGCACAACCAAGTCAAAATACTTTTAACGTCCAATACAAATGAAACCAATTTTTTATTCTCATCGCACGTTCTTTCGATTGAAGTTTATTTATTTATTAGAAGAAGAAGAAGATTCCAGCAACATTCATAGAAGTTACTCGGGGGTACAGTTCCACCACTATACCCCGGAGTAACTTCTATGAATGCTGCTGGAATGGTTCTGTGCCATTCATGTTTTAATAAGTTATCAATAAAATTCACGGATCCGAGGTGCGGCGGTCGCACTCGCAAAATCGGCCCGGTCCCACACGGCCAAAAAAGCCAAAACGCGCGCTGTCGTCAATGTGTTGAAAGAAGCGATAGCGTAGGCTGCCAGGTGGAGAAGAGTTCCAAACGTCATTTACGAGAGGAGTGGAGATAAGAACTGAGGTGGAATTGTCCAGACAGTTCGGGCTTGTCAAGGCAAGGCCTCGGGATATCAGCGGAACGAAGAAAATGACGATCGAGCGAGCGATAACTTTTACGCGTCAACCACGCAGCCGCTGCAACCCCTTCCACGACAACGTAGGTGGTGAGGAGTTCCGGAGGTCTGTTCGGGCGCCTTATTACGCTCATAAAGCGCCACTACCCCTGAAGCGTCACATCATATTGCTTGATAGGTCTCCTATCGAATCCGCTATGTAACTTTCATTCGTTCCCATGGTATTTATCGCGACCACTTCCTTTAAAGGCACGAGTCGGGATCGAATCGGTGTTATTCTGATCGAAAACTGGCAAGACATGCGATGAGGAACGTTGAAAGAGGAAGAAGCAAAATACGCTATAGAACCCCTGGAAATCACCTCGTGAGGTCGGCCGTGGTATGACAGAGATAGGAATGCCAGCGGTTGCAGTGGTCAAATGAAGGCATTAGCTCCCATGTTGGGCACTTTCAAGGCGCAAGAGTACCACTACCTCTATGATTTGGGGTCCTGCTACATTTTTTAAGGAAATAATTTCTTTGAAGGCAGCTAATGCGAATACGACAACCAGCCTTAAAAAACGCCGGTATACGCGGTCAATTTAGAAATCATGCGCTGTCAATGTTTTAAATTTTTTTTAACAAAAAAGAACGGAGCAGCACTGAGCATTCATATACACAAGACGTACATGTCGTTTGTTCTCTGACTCCGTGAAACTATAACCTGTCTGGCTCGCACACGTCTTTCCGGCTATCTCTTTCACTTACAGCCTTAACATTTGTTTGCAGGGAAGGAATAATGACGACTGAGACTCATCATCAAATTGGCACCACGAGGGCGATTTGTCAGCTGGTTCTCTTAACGCTGGGTTTCTCCGCTTAGGTTTTTTAGTAACTATACTTGCGTTTTGTAGAGATCGAAATACGTACCAGCAAACTGACACGCAAAGTTAAGTGGTTTACAAATTATGGCGATCTTCATGCTCGGTATCAAGACTTCATCGATTAGTTGACTGCTTTCTCAAACTGATGTGAAACTGGCAGCGTCCCCAAGCGATTTGGGTGCTTTTTGGTCGGAAGTGAGCTATGCTTTTTAGCGCGTGAAATGCGTAAACTAGGGCAGAGTCAACCCTGCGTTGCGCAGTTCGCAACGGCACGTTGAGAGATCCTCAACGCACGCTGTATGGGCGGAGACGCAGACGGCTCGAGCATGCGAGTGTGAATGTTCGCGCGAGAGAACGTGTCTAATCGGGCGAAACTGCGCAACGTGGCCGTTGAAAACTGCGCAACGCAGGGTTGACTCTGGTTGGAGCCTCTCAGTCAACTAATAATAAGTATCAAGGCAGATTGCAAAGCGGTTTTCTATGGGAATTATAACCCTTGGTTTCTTGAATTGATATGAGGCCAGTAGAGACACCGGACTTGAAAAGCGATCATGTTGCAAAATGGATCCACTATGTGTAATCCCTCCTAGTGGATTATGACTCGAGGCAATGACAACGATTGGCTTGAGAAAATATCTGTCTCAAGTGGCTCTCGAGAGGGGGCGTATTATGAGGTCCTTTCATCACATAGGCATTTTTACTAAATCTGTAAATTTTTGAGCTGAACCAAACTTCGATTTATTCGTTTTGTATATTTTTTTCATATTTGGATCAAAGATCAAATGGAGATTTTGGTTTTCGTAGGACTTACTAGCTGAAGGCGCTTCTTGTAATATTCGCATTCAAACGTACATAATATCGCAACATAATCACAGTCTCATTATAACGTATAAGATCCTTGCTACAAAGATGCGGCTTTTCTGATGAACCGGAGGCGAATTGTGCCGGGTCTGTCTGAAACTTCACCCTCATGGGATAAGAGGTGGTGCTGATAAGGAAGTGAAGTTCTTTCTTGGCATGGCGCCATTTCGCACCATTTTTGGGCCGAATTGATGCAACACCTGTTTTCAACTCATGGTCCTGATGGGAAATATCACATTCATTTCTGGCAATAGCGTTATTAGGCAGCCTACTATCGAGGTTTAAGCGCTAACGCAGAATTATCATTCTGCTTTAGCGCTTAAACCTCGATAGTTGGCTGCGCCAAAATGAATTTAAATTTGTTATCAGGACCATCAGTAACCTATCTATGCAAGTTTTTACTGAATTTGGGAGAACCGGTTGCTGCATTAATTTGGAGTAAAATTGTTGCCAAATGGCACATACGAACAGCGAATGTTATATTCTTCGTCAGGACCATTAGTTTT